ATATAGAGAAAGTACAAAATGTCAGTATGTAATTTAAAGTGCCATTTTAGTCTAATTCTATTTGGCTTTAAGAAACAACTGTTGTATTTTGTCCCCTTTAAATAATAGCAGGTGTACTGTGTAACAGGTTTAGAGTAGAAGAACTTGCCCTGAGTAGGTAGTCAGAACATAGGAGTAGTTTGAAGAAGGCTTTTTTATTATTCAATACTTCAGTAATGCATAAGTAACTAGAATCACAGAATCAGACAAAAATTAGTTATAGTGTTTTACCATTCCTACGACAAAAAATATTTTTCTTTATTGGTACTAAAAATTTCCCCACTTGTTTCTTCCTTTCCTTTCACCAAGCAACTCTGAGCTGTCCATAAACCCCACTTAAATAACTGAAGAGGGAAAATAAATACCCCTCAGTCTGCTTTTCAGGTTAAACAAGCCCAGTAGCCTCCCCTCATATGTCATATGTCTTTCCCGCAAACCCAGGAATGCTCACAACCATCCTGATCATCCTCCATTTGGTTTCTTCTGTTTTCTTGACAACTCTTTTCTACTGGGAGGGCTCAAAAATTGAAACTAGATGCAGGCTCACTAGTGCCCAGCAGAGGCGAATAATAACTTTCCTCGACCTGCTGGCTACGCTCTAATTAATGCAAGTGTATAGGAGGTTATCTTTCATCACAACAAGGGTGGACTGACTCATGTTCAGTTTGGTGTCAATCAGACCTTAGGTTCTTCTCTGCAGAGCTGCTACCCAGTCATTCAGTCACTGACCTGTGGTGTTGCAGTGCTGTTGACGTTCTCCACCCACCTTGTTCTCCGCCAGTTGCGTGTTTGCCTTTGTTCACAGAGCTCTTGCTATCCCATTCTTTCCATCTGGCAAAGTCCTCCAGAACGGGACCCATGCCCTCAGTGTATCATTCTCTCCCTCCCCTCCAAGTTAATAACAACCACAGACTTCCTGGACATGTCGGCTCTCTTATCACCCAGGTCCCTGGTGGAGATGTCACCCTAGCATCCTCTGAAATGCAACCTGGAACAGAGACTTTGAACTGTCGACTACTATCTTTTTAGACCAGTAGTCCAGCCAGTTATTCACCCACTCTGTAGTCTACCCTGCTCCTCTGTTAGGGCATGAGACTGTGTCAAAAGCCTTACTAAGGTGGAGGAAAATAGCATCCATGCCATGTTGCCCAGAGAAATTGTAGATGTCCCATCCCTTGAAGTGTTGAAGGCCAGGCTGGATGGGGCTTTGAGCAACCTGGTCTGGTGGGAGGTGTCCCTGCCCAGGGCAGGGGGGTTGGAACCAGATGATCTTCAAGCTCCCTTCCAACTCTAACCATGCTATGATTCCATGATTCTGCGTTTCTACAAGGCTGGCCACATGCTCTGTCCTCTCAGGATGTGGACCAAAAAAGAAGTGGAAACCCAACCCGAGTCTGAAATGTTCTCTAACATGCATTTAGCCATGCTTATCTGTTGAAATTTACTATGTGTAGTATACTTCCTCAGACATACCAATGCATGAAAAATCATCCCCAGTTCAGTAAGCAGTTATAAATTAACAGTACAGGAAACCAATGTTTTTAAAAGATGAGGTGCTGTATGAAGTTGTCCACCAGTTTACAGATCTGTCCCTGCTTAGCATGCTGCAGTTTTTATTCTCCTCTCCATTTTGTTTTCACCTTTTATTTCCCCTTTTTTCTACAGGTTGCCAATGAAAGAGGTTCTGTTTAGCTGTGATGGTGAGTACTACTGTTTTTCTGACTTGATCACATTCACACTTTGAATAACTACTTATTTAGTCTCACTTTAACAAATTTTTATGGTGTTTTTAGGAAAGATGATAGGATGCTTTAGATACACATTTTAGTGTTTGGATAATAATCTGGCTATGTTTGGTGAATGATTTGCTTCTAATAATTACCAATGCAGAATAATTCTACTTCTTAACATCACAGAATAAAGTCACAATTGAATAAATTATAAGTGGGATGCAATCAAACAGTTGGAAGAAATTGAGGTATGATCTGGAATTAGATTGTGAAGTGATGTCATTGAAATAAGATGAATATCATTTTATATTTGAGTACATAACCACATAGTGCTATTAAAGTGAATAGTTTGCTAGAGTTAAACTATACTATATTGCAAATAATGTGCTGTGTTTGAGTGCAGATATAATGTAGTACTTAACAAGGGAGGTCAGAAAATAGGTGATATAGAAAAGGCTGAAATGCTCAATCCTTTTTTTTTGTTTGTCTCAGTCTTCACATAAAGGTTTAATTATGACTAAAAGTTTATTTCAGTTATCATTAAGAATTTGGGAGTAGGATCATAGAGAGAAAAGGAGAAGAACACCTGAAGGAATGCTGAGCTAAATTGGAGTCTTTAGGATTGCACAGCCTAATGAAACTTACCCTAAAATACTTAACCAAAGCAATCTCTCAAATGCTAGTGATTAAGAAGATTAATAAGTTCCCAGAAAACTGGAGAAAGGCAAACGCAATGTAATATCTAACAAAGGAGTAAAGGAAAATCTAAATAGTTACAGAAAAGTCAGCTCTTCCAAGACACTGGAACAAAGTATTAAATAAGCCATTTGTAGGCATCTAGAGAATAGTAAGGAGATAAGAGGACTTGCACAGGGACACATCAGAAACAAATCCTATCAAGGTGATCTCGTTTCCTTCTTTGACAGCAAAATAGATATAGGGGATGTGTTTGATACAGCGTATCTTTGACACAGTCCCACATGACATGAGTCAGCAAAGCAGATACAGATGAAATTAAATTCATATAAGGTAGATGTGGAACTGATTGGAAAAGCTGTGCTAAGAGAACAACCATTTGTTGCCAAAGTGGGAGAACATCTCGCAGAGGCTTCCACAATGCTGTCTTCTAGCTCTAGCACTATAAAACATTGCCATTAATTACTTGCTTAATCACAGGGACTGTAAACTTACCAAATTTACAGATAGTGCCCACTTGGGAGGACTCTCAAGCAGCTTGGAAGGTAGGATTAGAATTCAAAAAGTGTCACGTTAGAGGAACGGACTGAAATCAATATGATAAAATTCACTGAAGACAAATACAAAGAAATAGGAAAAGCATGGACAGAAAAGGAATGACAATAATACTTCAGGAGACAACCTGATGATTACAGGGGACCACAAATTGAATCTGACTTGAAGAGGCGATGCTCTTATGAAAAATGCCCTTGCAGGGAGAAGTATAAGCACCCCCTTGCAGGGAGTGCTTATAATATGATGGAGGTAATTACTCATCTCTGTTCAGTATTAATGAAGAATCACTTGCATGGGATGTGGGAAACAAATGGGAGGTTTAGAAAAGATGTAAAGGTTTCAGTGTCTTCACAAAGGAAAAGAAATAAGGACAGAGTAGAAACACAGCAGTTTATATCTCTTCATACAGACTGTTATAAAGGGATATTAGTCATTTCTCCATCCTTCCTGAGAGTAGGAGAGAAAGAAATGGGCCTAAATTTCAGGGAGAGAGATTTAGTTTAGAATTTGGACAGTTGTAGGTCTGTGGAAATTTAAGTGCTAAACCAGTTTACCTCTGGCTGCTGCAAAGACAGGCATGGTATCTCGCGGGGTAGGTTTGGTCTGCCAGCTGTCATCTTCCCCCACAGCTGTAGCACAAACAAGGTGGCTGAATATATATATTTTTGTTATAGGAGTGACATTTGTTAGCCATATCATTGGGTTGTATAAATCAGGAAAACTAAGTGAGCTCAGTGCATGTTTACAGTTTACTAATCTGTGTTTTTGACAACTTGTATTCATGTGAAAACTCTTGTTTTGCAGCCCCGAATTAGAATCAAGAGCTAAAACCGTAGAGTATTTTGAGGCCTGTTTCTACATTGAGAAGAAATCCCCAGCGCAAATGTTATTTAAGGCCCCTTTTAAAGGAAAAAAAAAAAAAAAGTTGCTTCCAGTATGCTAATTGCAAAGCAGTAATAACAATCAAATATTCTTTCAAGGAATAATCTTATGTACTAGTGTAGTTAACCCCAGAGATACACACATGAACGTGCCCTATTGAAATATCATTTCTTGAAGTGCTTGCTGGTCTAAGAGATGCCCCATATAACACAGCATATTTTCTTTAGAAATAATATAAAATGTTGACATTAAATAAAGCTGTATTTTTGTTGCAAAGTGTTTGCTCGTTGTGTTTCTTATTTTTACTCCTGTGAATCTAGCTCCACGTATTTCAAGCAGCTGAGAACGAATGCCAGCATCGTCAGGACAGAAATGCTCCTGCGCTCTTAACCTTGGTCACATTTTGCCACCCCACAGACACTTAACGTTTTGTGAACTGCTCCAGGAATTATTCGCATTTGTGTCAGCACCCCCAGCAATCAGCATGCACAGCGATTCCCCCGTGACATGCAATATTCACAGCCCTTTTGGCCATTCAGCCTCGGTGCCAGCTGGTGAGTCCATGTGGAATTACCAGACGCGCTCCTGGAACAGAGGGAAGAATTACCTCTTTCCTCCCCAGTTTATGATGCTGGGTTTTTTTGACCCTGTGTTGCTCCCACACAATGTTGCCCCAGCTCACATCTTAAACAATTTGCTTCCTAAATGCAAGGTAAAACTCTAAGGAAGCTGACTGTCTGTGCTTGCACGAGTCAGCTGCTTTCTCCCCCATCCCTGGATCCTTTGAACCACAAATGACCCCACGTGATTGTATACGTATCTATGTTCAGGACCTTTCCATCACAGTCCTTGTCCTGGTGTGCAGGAGCTTTTTACCTCCTGACACGCTGCTATGTGTTGTGGTTAAGATCAGTATTTTAATGAGAGCGTTGCTGCTTTCATTAAAATTAATGCGACGAACTAATTTATAAAAGATTATCGTCCGTTAAAACATTAAAATTGCAAACAGTTTAAATGGGATAGTCCTTAGGCTACTCAGCCTCTTGCACTGTTGGACCTGGTGTAATTTCAATCCAGCCTGCATTTAAACTGCTGAACTCTGGAACTGTGAAAACAGAAGAGAAGTTGAAGTGAAATACACATTTTTCCCTTGATACAAGACACACAAGTCCTTTAGAATGTCATGAAGAGATTGATAGTCATATAAGGTTTGGTTTTGTATAAGTTTTTGGGTTTTTTTGTGGAAAAATAATAGGACTTAAGTGCGTATGTCTTGCAGACAGCATACCCATTAACTAGGTGGTGAAAAAAATAGTTGAGAAAAGCATTTCAGTGAGTTCAAGAAAGAGTTCCTGGGGACAGAAATCAACACGTGTAGATAAATATAACAAGCAAGTATCAAAACTTTATCTAATAGTTATAAATTCATACACATAAACAAATATATAAATATAAATGTGTTATAAATATTGTACAAGGTGTAATCAGTCTAATCACCAAGGACCTAATAGTATTTCTTGTTTTCAGCAGAGCACTGAAGAGGGTAAAATTCATATTTAGAAACAGTGTTATCTGTGTGTTTCCCAAAAGCCTTAGTATGCTTTCCTGCCCATTTTTTCCAAGCATTTGCTTTGTTCTGAATTTTTTTCAGCCCCAAATTTCTTTTCCTCTTGAATTTGATTTTTGTAAAATCCCATCTAGCATCTATAACCAAGAGAATTATTCACATTATATGGTTTAAGTTTAAATAACCCAGATGACAGACGAAGAAAAGATGGGAAGATTTAGACTAGATACAAGGAAGAAATATTTTATGCTGAGGGTGGTGAAACACTGGCACATGTTGCCCAGAGAGGGGGTAGTTGCCCCATCCCTGGAAACATTCAAAGTCAGGTTGGACGGGGCTCTCAGCAACCTGATCTGTTTGAAGCTGGGGTTGTTCAGTCTGAGGCTGAGGGGAGACCTTCTCGCGCTCTATAACTACCTGAAGGGGGGGTGTAGAGAGGTGGGGGTCGGTCTCCTCTCCCAGGTCACAGGAGATAGGACAAGGGGAAATGGCCTCAAGTTGTGCCAGGGGAGGTTCAGATTGGATATTAGGAAAAATTTCTTCCCGGAGAGAGTTATCCAGCATTGGAATGGGCTGCCCAGGGAAGTGGTTGAGACACCATCCCTGGAGGTGTTCAAAAGGCGGGTTGACATGGTCCTCAGGAATATGGTTTAGTGATTTTTTATTGCTTATTTCTTATTTATTTTCTTGTCAGGGTTAGGTTGATGGTTGGACTAGATGATCTTTAAGGTCCCTTCCAACCTAGAGGATTCTATGGTTCTATGATTCTAAGATGTCTCTGCTCATTCCAGGGGGCTTGGACTAGATGACCTTTAAAGGTCCCTTCCAGCCCACGTTATTCTGTCATTCTGCGATTCTATGATGAATCCTATTCTGCCATTAGTACATGGGAGAGAAATGACATTGCAGGATAATACCTTTGGTGCAGTGGTTTTGCTTTAAAAGCTGTTACTGCATTGCATCCATTAATAATAAAGAGTAATAAGTATAGACTATTGCAGCCATTACAAACCAGTGATGTATTTTTTGCAAGGAGTCACCGGTTAAATTTTCATTTGAGTTCAAAGGGATGGCCCGTAACGTTGCAGAGTTTAAACTGGAGATATGCAATTACATGGTTTCTCTGATGCATTAAGTTGTGTCTACTGGCAAATGACTGAACTGGGGTCTGAAGTCCTGGTTTCTTCCTAGACTGGCTGAGAGTCACTTCATTTCCCTGGCACAAGGTAGCAGTATTGCAATTCTCCCCCTGGGTCCAGGTCCAAGGCTTGACTCCAATCTGCTTGCAGCAGCCAGGACAAGGGAAGGTGCCACAGTCTTCTGGTGGGATGGAGTCTGCTGTCCATCCTGGGAATGACCTTGAGCACCCAGAGTCTCACCTATTGACTGTACTCTGGAAGACGACTTGAAATGAGATTTTTGTGATGGCTCATTCAGATAAATCAGGGAAACTTTTGAAAGACAGTCTGTGGAATAATCTTGGGGAATCAGCTTTAAAGAGATTCTTGAACATTTTTAACTGTTTTTTATTTGTTACTCCACAGTGATGTTAATGTTTGAATTCCTGCCAAATGTGTGGTGTTTTTTGAAGCTCAAGTGTAGACATCAGGTAGTGCTGAAATAGGTAAAAATCAGATATTTTTGTACTGAACGGTGCAAACCAGGACTAGAACCCTAACTCAAAAGTTTAGCTCAGCTGTTATGCTTGGAATAGGTCCGGTGCAAACCAGGACTAGAACCCTAACTCAAAAGTTTAGCACAGCTGTTATGCTTGGAATAGGTTAATCTTCAGTAGAGAAAAAGTATCATGTTTAACTGTTTCTAAATAGTTACAGATAAGTCAATGCATGCTTTCATGTAGTGAACAGAGGGCTACTTTTGTTTACAAAGGAAACTACTCTAAAACAAAAATATTTGCTGAAACACAATAGAATATATTCATGGGGTTTTTTTAAGGTTTAAACACATGTCAACAATTGGGAAAAATAGATTTTATTAAGTTTCAGCACAGTGTTTTGTGTCACAGAACAAAGCTGTTCAGAAGCATAAGTTACGTTTTCACATTCCTTTAAAAGACCTCTCATTCCTCTGTAAAGTAGCTCACGTCAATTCCAAGCAAAACCCTTGCCTCTGGTTTATCATCAGCAAGTCTTCAAAGTTGAAAATTAAAAAAACTCCACCAAACAAAGCCAAGTGAAACCAAAGGTTTGTAACTTAAAACACAGATATGCCCCTTCATTTAATCTGACTGACTGATAACATTTACCACATATGGTAGTTTTTTTTCTTTCTTATGTTTCCAGAGCAAGGAGATAACTTTGCCAAAATATTTCCAAAGATCTGTAATAACAAAGAAGATTTGCGTTTTTCTAATAGCAGTGCAAATCAGGAGCCAATTTCCTGGAATGGATGGAGCTGCATAGACATAAGGAAAAGAACTGTCTTATCATTTCCAGCAAACACTTCACTTGAGTTTCCATGAACATGTCTTTTCTCATTTTCCTCACATTATATTTGATGCACTATAGCAGTCAGTGACAGACTTAACATTGTCCAGACTTTTGTCTCATAAACAAAATTTAATAAAGAAAACACAGAGCAACTTTGAAGGCTAAGATTTATGTCCTATTATGTGAGGTAGAGTGATTGCATGTTGGTGACCTTGGTCTTTCTATTAACTCCTACACAGAAGACTGCCGGCAATAGAGCAAAATAAAAACCCCGTGGTCTGGAATTTTCCCTCATCCGCAGTCCTTTAGCTGTGGTGGGGATAGTGTGGGAGGCAGATCCAATAAAAGCACTGCGGGCAAGAGCTTGTATTAAAGACTTGAACATTTGGACTACAAGCCCATATATATAAACACAGACACATACACATATTCCCTCTTAACGTCTCCGCCATTCACGGCAATGCATCCGAACCAGCTGTGCTGCCAGCTGTGCTGTCAAAAGTAGCTGCCCTTCAATCCTATGACCTCTCGCAGCACTGAACAGCCGGCTGAAGTCACAAAGGGAAAGATCCCCTTCACTCCCGAAAAACAGTCTGCCATCAACTTCTCCAGGTTCCTCGCATTTACTACAAAACGGAGACAGATGGATGACTGGTTTTTACCTCTGCTCGTTCAGCTTACTGGCTGTAACAGTTCCAATTTGAATCTATGATATTTTTTGTAATTTAGCCTTATGTGCTATCTTTGCTAGGAACTTCAAAGTTCTTTGCTGCTTTTTTTTTTTTCTGAATCTTTTGAGTTTTGGCAACAATACTGTGTATATTTCTTCAGGTCTGCTGTTCAAAAACCTAGAAATCATAGATCGAGTATTAAAGGCTGTTAAACTTACCTTTTGATATCTGCTCTTTGTGGTTCTATTAATACATCCATTTCCTTTTAAAAAAGATATGAGCACTCATCAGTGGGTATTTTTTACACTATTTACAATGATTGCCAAGTTCATTTTCACTAAAGAAATGCAAGCCTGAAAAGATATATTTGGGTAACAATTTATACTGAATATCACTGGACTTTTTCTGAATTTGTCCACAGTGAAACAGGGCAAAAAGAAGCATATAAAGCTAAACTAGGGCACTGGGAATGAGACTGAAATGGGGGATGCAGGATAAGTTTACTGCAGTGATAGAGCCCTGCATATCAGGAAGGAAAATATAGATGAAATGCAATCTAAGTGTTACATAGATTCCAATCATATGGAG